GGGAGGGGAGTGGAAGAACAAAGCAGATTGGAGAACAATTAGGTTTGCTTGGGCTAAATGGGACAGAGGTAAAGAATGATGTATGCACAACCTTGGAATAACAGGGCTCTGGGATACAGGAATTGAGACATGGTTTGAATGTGAAAAAGGGGAGAAATAATATTAAGATGCTTGGCTGTCTTTTGAATCTTGGTTTCCCTTGCATACCATTTTGCCAAATTTGCAAACTTTTCAGACGTTATTTATTCCAACCTTTTCTCTTTCCCTAGTTCTCTGGTACTTCAATGACATGAACATTAGACCTTTTGGTATTGTTCCACAGGTCCCTGAGACTCACTGTTGATATTTACCCCAGTCTTTTTCTAGCGGCTGTTCAAATTTAAAACTTTCAAGTTTACTGATTCTCTTTTCTATTATTTACATTCTGTTGCTGAGTCCATCTAATGAGGCTTGCTTTTCCAGTTAAAATGTTCAGCTCAAAGGTATCTAGTTGTTTTTCCTTTATACCTTCACTTTCTTTGCTAAAACGTTCTGTGTTTCCATTACCAGTTACCAATGAGTCAACTCTAGCTCTTGGTGACCCGTGTGTGTCGGAGTAGGCTTTCCTATGGCTGAATTTTCCGATGTAGATCACTAGTTCTTTTTCCCAGGGCACCTCTAGGTAGACTGGGATCTCTAACCTTTCAGTTAGCACTTGAGTGTTAACCATTTGTGCCAAAAAAGTTCCTTCTCTTCATGATACAAGTGTCTATGATTGCCTTTTTTAACAAGTTTTTTTTTTTTTTAAACAATAATTGCCTTAAAGTGATTATCAGATAATTCCATTATCTGTGGCATCTTGGTATTGCCATTTGCTAACTATCTTTCCCATGTGAGTTGAGATTTTCCTGTTACTTCATTTAACTTTTAAAATTGTTGAGTGTGATGAGATTCTGGACCTTGCTTAAAATCCTGCAAAAACATGTTACTTCCCTGTGAAGCAAAATCTCAGAGAGAGTGAGGACACTGTGGCCTTTATTTCTGTACTTCTTGTTGTTAAGTGCTGCTGAGTGGGTTCTGACCTACAGATACCCTGTACAGGGTTTCCAAGGAGTGCCTCGTGAGTTTGAACCACCAACCTAGTGGTTAGCAGTCCATATCTAAATCTAGGCTACCGAAGTTTAGTCAACTAGCAGCTACTAGGTGAGGCATAATACTGAGTTCTATGAAGTATCACACCTATTATAACAGATAGTATGTATTTTTAATATTTTTCTATAATTTATATAATCATTTTTGTGAGTAAACTAAAAACTTTTTGCAAAAAAACCAGCCTTCCAAATAATTTGTATATATAAAACATAAATAAGAAGAATGAAGTAAGATCAAAGACCTCAAGTAATCCTCAGAAAATTCATTTTATAAAAACAAAAATAACAATCTAGTAAGTTATGTGCATAACAGTGACAAACAAAAACTCTAAAAGTTCTTCCCAAGCACATTCCAAGTAAGTGAAATAGCTGCTGACGGGTCTCATTTGATCAAATTAGTTCACAAGATGCACTATCCCCAAATTATCCTTTAAGCAGATGAAATGAAATCCCTACAATTAGTGTTTTAACAAATACAACAGAAATAATGATCTCATTTTGCAGTTCAGGAGTGGAGGACTCTGGGACAACCGAGGGAAAAGAACGGAGTGCAGGACATTATCCAGAGAAGTAGGGACGCCATGACATGGAGAGATGAAGTGGCTGGGTATTCTAGACTCAAGGAGGGAGAGGGACCGTGTTTGCAGGGTATGCCCTTTGGTTATTTGAATGGTTATATATTCCTGAGTGCTTTGGTGTACATTAAAAAACAAAACACATAAAAACAAAACAGAGGGAATGGAAGCAAATGCTGTTGAATGATGATGCATGGAGGGGATTGTAATCATATATATATATCAGTAAGAGGGAAAATGACCAGAAATTGACTTCATTCTTTATCCATCTTAACACACACACATACTACAGTATCCTGAATATGATTTAGTTATTTACATAATTAGATTATTAGGGATTTAGGAAAACAACAGCCATCATTTATAGAGGAGCTACTATGTTTCAATAATTCTACAGGGCAGTAATCGTTGTCTTTTTTTTTTAAGATGAGGAAACTGAGTCTTAAAGAAGTCATTTATTTGGTCATGGTGATCCTAGTACAAAACTAGGAGTCCTTAGAGCAGACAGACACCAAAGATTAGACCAGCAGAAACAAACTACCTTCAAAACATTAATACTGACAGCATGTGGAATTTTTAACTTTAAACTATCATAATAAATCCATCCATACCATGAAATCATGTAGGCAGTGCACTGTCTACTGGTAACGTGTCTGTTTTTTCTATACCCTATGACACTTGGAATTATTCTAATTAGATCTCATTATCATTCTCAGGAGAGCAGTCTTTAAAATGACTTTAGCTTATCAGCACTGTACAGACTTACCTAAGCTTGACCTGGTGTTGGATCTTTCTATTATTGCGTGCTTACTTGGATTGTTTAATACTGAGCGTTTGGCAAGCGAGATATCAGCAGTAACCCTTGTGATGGATATCCTGTGGAATAAAAAGTCACAGAAGACACTTTTATGAGGTCATTAATTTAAGAGAAGAGAGACGAGCATGGATAAAATTAATTTAAATATGAAACATACAAACCAAAAAAACGTTAGGACATGTAACCATTTTTGTTTATCATGCAGCTCCCTTACTTATAGGTTATGTAGTAAGTACTAGGCATGTACTAAGTACTTTTTCTGGATCATCTCATCAAATCATCCCAAAATTCTGAGGGATCTTCATATCATCTCTGTCTACTGATGAGGAAAATAAATCACTAACAGATTATTTAAAGCAATACATTTATTAAAGGAGCCGTGGCAGCACAGTAGATTTAAGAGCTGGATCACTAACCACAATATCAACAGTCTGAATCTACCAGCCGCTCTATGGGAGAAAAATGAGGCTGTTTGCTCCCATCAAGATTTACAGCCTTGGAAAAACTATACAGGGTCGCTGTGAATCAGAACCAACTCAACGGCACACTACCACCACCACCACCACCATGTGTTTACACATACTCAGCTGCTAATCAAAAGAATGAGAGTTCAAATCCACCAGCTATTTCACAGGAGAAAGACTTGACAATCTGCTTCTGTAAAGAATTGCTATGTAGGGTTGTTATGAACCAGAAGAAATTCAAGCGCACCTGGTTTATTTGTTAAAAAAAAGGAAGATTCACAAGGGTCACTGACCATTGTGGAACGTGCCCCAAAAACATTAAAAAGAAATGCTGTGGAGGCAGTGACCATGAAGTTGCACAGAATCCCCTTTGTGACAGACATGCTTTAACCATAGTATTAGCTCAGAGTTTACTTTAGGCAAAGAATTTAACTTTACCCAAAGTAATCTGGTTTTCAGGATTGTTTCCTGAGAAAGTAATTGGCGTTTTCTGAGTAACTAGGATATCCTTATTGTGCAAATGACTGGGCCAAGCAAGGCTACAGAGACTACTAATTGAGTAACCTAATCTCAGAGAGGAGGACCTGATTCAGTCTGTCATGTTAAGATTCTACTGGACTTCCTCTTTGTCCCCCTTGTAATAGACCTAAAATGGGCTCATCCTGTATTTTCAGAGGTGAGATCTGCCTATGTGTATAAAGATAAACTACTGTAACTCTATGTACTTTAATTTTTGTACTTCAATTTAACTTTTTTATTGTGATTTGAATGAACATTTATAGAGCAGGTCATCAGTATTACATTCAACAATCCATACACATTTTGTTTCATCTCATTGATTATAATCCCCTCAACATAACATCACTTACCACACTTCCTCCCTGTATTTCCCATTTCCATTCCTCCTTTGCTCTTAACTCTTCTGAATTTTGTCCTTAGGTAAATGCTGTCCACTGGATTTCTAATGGCTGATTATTCAAAGGTATAAGACCTCACTAGTTTTTATTATTCCCCTTTTAGACTTATCTATTGTTTGACTAAAAACACTTCAATTATTTTTTACACCTTCCATCTACTTTTCTAGGGAACTACTTGTAGAATGTGTTTCAATGAAATCAGAGAGTAAATCATGAATGAGAAAGTTTTGGGATCCAGTCAACAGGGGCTCCAACCCAAAAGAAAGATGAAAGACCAATGGTATAGAGGTCTCAGAATGTCAAATGTACATTAAAAAATGGTCCTAACTGGAGCAATGGTGGCATGGTAGGTTCAGCTTTTGGGTGCCAAGCAAAAGATTAGTAGTTCAAATCAAAAGCTGCTCCTCAGGACAAAGACAAGCTGTCAGCTTCCACAGAGATTTACAGCTTTGAAAACTCCAGGGCACAGGTCAGAAGGCATTGCTAGACAGCTGGACAGCTCCCAGAGAGCGTGTAAGGAAAGTTGAGAGATTACCTGAGAGGAGATTTAGACTGCTGGAGGAGAATCTGATGTTGAATGAGTTATAAATATATAAAAATTCAAGCAGATTCAGAAAGTACAATTATTTTTATCTCATGAAAACCTTAAAGAAAGCAAGCGCCCAAAACAAACAAACAACAATCACATTATATGACAGTGGTCATTGGATTATTATTTATATGGTATAATGAATAGTGAATACAGAATTAGTTAGAATTATAATTTAACTACTAGGATACTGCAGATGAGATACACAGGATTGTGTGGGAGGGAGAGAACGAGAAATAAATATGAAAGAACTAACGATTCTTCAGGGTAGTGACTCAGTAATTGATAGTGTCCAACACTGAGTATCAACTAGCGAATTATGTAGAGACTGAGTAAAAAATACAGTTAGCATTGTTCAAAGTGTTTGCCATCTGGTGGAAAGGTGCTAC